TATAATAAGATTTTTTTAAAAAAATATTTTATTATAACAATATATGATAGAATTACAAGAGTAAAGAGAAATACTATAATAATAAAACAACCCAGAATAAAAAGAATAATAATAATTTGACAACATTGAGCAAGCAACCATAAGCAAAATATTCAAAGAATTGGAAGAGATTAGATAATTCCAAAAAAAAAGGTCTTTAGAGATTAAAAAAAATAAGGACTTATGTTTATTTTATTTTAATCTTACAGAAGGCCAAAATTGTTAGATTGATTTGAAGGAATATATAAAGCCAAAAATTATAGATGAATGGAAAGATGGATTTATAGGGGAAGTCAAGGATACCTAAATTATTGTCTACTTTTAAAACCTTATGTAAAATAATGATAAACAGTCTAAAGGATTAAACTATTGTGAATTATCAAAAATCAAACTCTTTATGAAGAGCTTTCTTTAATAAAATAATTTTAAAAAATTAAATTTTATAGTCTAATTCAATAATGAGGAAAACTAGGAAATACTCTAAAAAAAAATCAAACACAGAATTTTTTAATTGTTTGAAGGATTTTTTGAAGGATATCAAAAATAAAAAGATATATTTGTATTTTGCTTACTAGACAAACAGCAAAAGGACTATGATCATTAAAATGAATGTTAGGAAAATAATTCAAATACTAAGGAAGGATACATATATAGTCTTAATGAAAAAGAGAAACCAAGCTAACCGAAACAAATATATAGCTCCTAAATCACCATAGAATATTTTAACAACATTAGTGAAAATAAAATTAATGTAATATAGATGGACTGGTATTTTAAGTAAATTGGATTCTCTTGCATTTCGTATATATAAGGTAAGGTAAAAATTGTGTTTCATTAATTCTCATAATCTCTTTGCTTATTAAACAAATAAATTAAAAAATCTTTTAGAATTACAAATAAATTTAAATGAAGAAGCAAAATAATATTAAAAGATTTAGGAATATTTAAATTACTTAAAATAATTAATTTAGAAAATAAAAGGATATATAAATGTTAAAAATTTAAACCTAATTTATTTTAAATAATTATGTAGCTATCTTTAAGATATTACTAGATTTTACTTAAAAATATTGGAAGAAAATTTGAATTAAATTAAAGATATTCCAACAATTTCTTGGAAAATTGAAAAATATCTATCAGAATAAAAAAATAATATTCTGAATTTCAATGTTGATTTTACTGATAATGATATGAACCTTTTGGATTATTTTAAAGAATATTATACTTTTGATTATTTAAAGGAAATAATCAAATTATAAGAAAAATCTCTCATTTTTTGGTTTGAGCATTTTGAATCCCCTATACCTTAAAGACTATCATATATTAATAATTTAATAGGAAATTAAAATGATTAAAATAACTAAAATAGATTGAATGTTCTTGTATTAGGAAATACTAGAGTGGGAAAAAGTACTCTATTAAATATTTTACATAATCCAAATAATATGAAACTCATATAATTAAGATCAGGAAGGTACTGTTTTGATGTTATCGATAATGATAATATGTTTGAAATCTCTCATGGGAACAATAGTAAAACTTTCTCAATAAAAGAATTATAAATAAATACTGGAAAATCTGATTTGATATTTATTGATACACCTGGATTTAATGATACATAAGTTGAAAAAAGATTGATTAATTAAATTTAGATGTTTTAGAGAATAAATAAATCAAAATAATTCGTAACTTTATTCCTTATAGATGGAGATGTCCTCGAATAAGACAAAACCAAATTATTGGATTCAATAGAACACTTTTATTTATTTTTTGATAACTAACTTAATATGAAACAATTAGAATAAATTCTTATTCCAGTATTTACAAAGGTTAATGAAGCTATTATGGGTGAAATTAAAAATAAATGGGAGAGTAGTACTATGTAAAAGTGTAATAGCAAGTAAGAAAAAGAATTTTTAAGGGTTATAAAAAATAAAATTGATAACAATTAATATATTACATTATTCAAAGCTGAGAAGTATTTCATTAGTAGTTTGGAATAGTTGAAAAAAGATAAATAAGCAATCATTGACAAAATGATGAAGGAAGAGCATAATGAAGTATCTTAGAAGGAAATGCAAGATAAATATTAAAAAATTACACTACAAATTTAGAATCTTGAAGTGAATTAATAAAAAATTTAATACTAAATTATTAATTCAGATATCAATAAAATAAGAGATTAGATTTTTTCTTAATGCCAAGTATTGTATGATTAACAAAGGGAATTAAATGAAGAATTTAATTTTTAATTAAAATTAACTCCGTCTATGGAAAATAGTCTTAATATTGTTTTAAAACATTTTAGCTAAATTAATAATTATATTGATGAGTTAATATCTTATATAATTATAAATCAAATTTTGTTTAAACAAAACAATTCATTTGAGTAAATTTAGAATTCACTTTAAAAGGTAGAAGGCAGTTTAAACAGTTTTGACAAATAAGAAATAAATTCTGAAAAATTATGGCTAGACCTTTGTAAACATCTGAATTTGACCATAGATTCACAGTTTTTAAATGAATATTTATCTTAAATTTAAAAATTGGAATAATTAAATTAATTAGGAAAAAAAATTTAGATTGAATAACAAAAATTTGTAAATTTTAAACAAAAAATTGATTTATTATAAAAGATTGTTAAAGATACAATAGAAATAGATATTAAAGACGACATTAAAAAGAATATGAGTTTTTTTAGATGGTCAAAAGAACCAACTTAACAAGAATTGGAATTTGAAAAAAGGAAGTAAGATCATAAAATTTAAGAATTAATAAGAAAAAGATATTTCGACAAAATAAAATGAAAATTTATTTTATCCATAATTCTTCATCATTAAAAGATGGATTTTTTTTTTAAAGTTAAACAATTTTTTTCTTTCATTTAATATTTTAATATTGCCTTTAATTAATATTATAAATATTAATTTCATTTTAATTGAATAACATTTTAGATATGTAAAATCTTAAATTATTGATAAAAATATTTCAAATGAAATATCAAAATATTAAAAATAATATAAAATTTATCTCAAATAATTAATCATATAATAATAATAAATAGAGATAGATATAATAATAGAATTAATTTATATATTTTCAATAATAGAAGGTATTCTTCATCTTAGAACTGATTTCTTCTTCTTCTTTTAAATGAGTTCTATTATATATAATTAAATAGAATTACTTGAAAACTAAAAGCTTTTTATTCAATAAATTATAAATTTTTAATTTTTTTTTAATAAATGCTTCTAGATTACCAACATAAGTATCTACATCATAATCTACAATTCCAACTCCTTAAATTGATTAAATTAATTCACTTTCTTATTATAATAATTTAGCATCTTCCTAAAAATATTATATATATAAAAATACTTTAATAGCAGCCATATGAATATTAAGGATTTCATCTTATTCTTCCAATATTGTATTAACTTTTTCATGAAAATCAAAGAATTCATTACCATTTCCATTAGCATTATTTTATTCGTTTTTCATCATAGTTTCTTTCATGCATCTAACATCCTCTTTGACTTATCCATTCTTTTTATTAACTAATTCTTCAGCTGCAACATCATCATCTGAGTCTTCTTAAATTGAACTGACTCTTTTCTATTATTTTGGTGGTACAGGTTAAGATTTTGGTTTTTCTTTATCTGGTATTTATGATTAATTCTTTTTAAGATTAGCAGCATTCTAATTATTTTAATTTCTTGGATCATTAATTTTTGGTAATTATAAAGGAGTATTCTATTTATCTACTTATTTATTATTATTATCTAAATTTTTATCTGATTATCTATCTTATCCTTATTATTATCTATATAATAATTCTTCATTTGTAACTTCTCTTTCTTCTAATTATATTTTAGCTTAATTTGATTTATCTTTTAATCTATCAGCATATCTCAAAGTATTTAATGAATGATCAGCAGATGAACTTCCAGGACTAATACAAGCAATCATAATAATTCTAGATTTGTTAGATTTTGCAGTAAATGAATCTCTCAATACCAAAGTAAGTTTAGATGCTCTAAAAGGAACATGTCCTTATCCTGAATCCATAGCTCTAATGCATTCTTTTAATGCTAATAAACTTTTATTGATTTCAGCTCCTTCCAATCTTCTTTATCTATTATTTGATTATGTATCTTATGCTCTTTCTGATCCTGCCAAATCAACCAATATTAATTTGCCAATATCAGAATAACCTTGTCTTATTGCAATTTAACAAATTGAATGAGATCTAGATGATGTATCATTTGCAACAGTTGCATGAGTTGTTCTAACTGAATTAGCTAATTCCATTAATTAGAATAATTCATGTTCTGATTCACTTGGTTTTTCAACTAATCCTTATATCTATATATTATTATTCTTATCTTCCATTATTTATAATGGTGCCTTACCATTTAATAAATCATAACATTTTCCACCATAAATCTCAAAAAATGATACAAATATCTTATAAGATGGAGTTGTACTTATTAATTTATATAAATCAGTAGCTAATAATTCTTAAATGCTTTTCATTGTATAAGTTTTACCAGAACCTGTTTGTCCATAAGCAAAACAAGTTACAACTCCTTAATTTACCAATAAATCCATCAATGGAGCTAAACTAACATCATAAATATCTTTTCCTTATTCTACTTCACTAAAAGTATTATCAAATTAGAAATCATGATTTTCTACATATTTAGTAATGCCATCTACTTTTAATTTAGGTTCATGCACTCTTATCATAGGATTTGCACAACTTATAGCATCTATTTCACCTCCAACTTCCTCCTTTTTAAAGATAGGTCTTTTCCTAACACATACACATAATTTGATATTTTATGTAGTCTAATGTTCTTATATTAATCCTCCTTTGAGTCTTGTTTTATCAATCATAATTTCAAATTCTACATCAACATTTTTACCTAATATTTAATTCTATTCTTCTCTTTCTGCCTTCTCTCTTTTCATTTCTTACATATTTTTACGACGTTCTTCTCTTTATTATTCCATCTTTTTGATATTATCAACAACTGATCCTTTTTATTATTATGCTTATTATTAAACAACTACTTATTATGCTTATTGTTATTATTAAGGAACTTATTCTGGCTTATTATTATTAACAATTTCAATCCCTTTTTATACATTAATAAATATACCATTTGCTTTCTTTAATCTATCTAATTTCTCTTATTTTGTTCCATATACTCCTAATCCTTTTGCCTTTAATTAAGCTATTACTTCTTCATCACTTAATTTGTTTAGAGCCTATTCTTTTTTATTTAATTATCCCTCTCTTTAAGCTTTTAATCGATCTAACAATCATGTCATTCTATTACCTCTTTCTTTTTATGCTTAAACTGATAACTATTATTGTTATTTAGATGGCTGCATCACTTTGAAATTTGAATTATTTTATAATTATATAATTATTAATTATTTAACCAGAATACTTTTTATTCATAATATTATACAAATCATCAGATATAAACTAAAACAAATGATGAATTAAATAACTAACTTAATTTTGATAACAATATTAATAATTATTACAAAAAAAATGATTAATTAGTCTTCTATAAATTTCATTTTATGTTTTAATTTATTTATGTACATCTTAGAAATTAAAATTATCTTATGACCTTAAATATTAAAAACAAAGATATTTATATAGATAAATTAAAAGTAATTTAAAATTTAATAATAATATTATAAAGAAGTTTAATGGTTATTTTTATGTCTAGACAATTTTAAACATAAAAATTATCAATCATTTTTAAGATTTTTTTATTTCATCATACTCAATTTTTAAAATTTCCATCTTGAGTCTTTCATATTATTATTTTGTAGATTGCTTTAACCTTTCTGCTCTTTTGTCTAATTATATTAACTTTAATAAAAATATTTAGATCTCTTTAAATTTCTTAATTGTTAAAAAGTTTTAAAAATTCTGATTATTATGCAAATTAATACAGCTTCTTCTTACTAGATCCAATTCATTTTCCAAGTACTAAGAAGATATTTTCTTTACAGCTTATCCATTTTGAATGAATTTAGAGATGTTATAAATAGAATTCAATTTCTTAATTAAATCCTGAATCAATATTTGGTTTTGAAAAAGATTAATAAATTTCTAGCTCAAGGAAATGAAAAAGTCGTAAATGCTTATGTTTTCATTCGATTTAAAGTCTTGTATAATATTTTATATTTAAGAACATAAATCAGTTACTTAATCTAAATTTCTAGAATGATCATTTAAAAGATTATTAATTATCACATCAGTGATTAATCTTAAAAGGAATGTACATATTTCATCTTAATATTTTAATATAGTATTATAATGTTCTTTCATTTCTGCATTTAATGACAAAGTAAATTTTATTTTTTATTTTTATTAAGTCTGTTCTTACGATAAGTTTTTACATTAATTTAAAATTTATTATTAAATCTTCTCTAGTAAATCATAGTTAATTTTATTTCCTTTAATATCAATTTCATTTTATAATAAAATTACTCTTTCATTTAATTAGCTTATCTCGTTAGAATTTATTTTATTATCTCTTAATAAGTTGGTTATTTGATTTTATGTTTCCTATATTTATTTTTTTAAATTTTTTATTTCTTATTTATTCATAAAGTAGGATGCATTTAATAATTCAATATATCCATTATTATCAATTCTATTTTTTATAGCTTTTAAGAAATGGTATAGTTAAGAGTTAGGGTAATCTGACTCAATTTCTTTTTCCAATATATTTTTTATCTATTCCATTGTATTTAAACCTAATTTATTAAAAACAGGTATAATGAATTTTTCCAATTAAGATTCAATTAGCTAATCACCAAAGAATAAATTGATATGTTTAATAGTAGAGTAGAGATCATTAATATTTTCACACAATTTTTATCCATCAATTAAAATCAAAAAGATTATTTATGGCGATCTTTGTAATTATGTAAAGATTTTAATTTAATTAATCAATCTATTTTCACTATTTGTATCTTAAAATCCTGGTGTATCTGTAAATATAAAATCATTAATTTCTCTATCATATGTTTATTTAGTTTAACTTTTGCATGATTATGATATTATAATATCATTAGTTTTATTAATTATAGAGAAATATTTATTTTAACCATTTTTAATAATTTTAATATTGTTAGGATTCATCAAGATATTCAATAATGTACTTTTACCAGTTTTTGTTAAACCTAACAAGCAGATATTAGGTTTCTTGATATTTTCTTATCTATTGGAAAAATTATTTATTTCTTAAAACAATTTATATTTAGATGGAAGATGAATATCAAAGTACTTAATCTCTAAAGAACATTACAAAGAAATCATTTCCAATTCCTTTTTTAAAAAGCTGTTTAGAGTTTCTTGAGTAAAATCTTGAAAAACTAATAGTTTTGATTGATACCATTCAATTATTTGTTCATAATTAAATAGAAAAATTTTTTCTTTTTTAGTAAATGAAATACAACTTGGATTTTATTATGCCAAATATTTTAAATGGTTTAAAATATGAGGTTCCCAATATAAAATAGCTTAGCGGATTTCTTAAACAAAAATTTATATGCAAAATTATTCTTTATTAATTATTTATAGAAATCTAATTATAAGAGAATATAATAATTTTAGAAATTGCTTAACATTCTCATCTTAATTTTTTTCATTTTTTAAATTAATCGGCAATTCAAGTAATTCATATATATTTAATTAAAGCATTTTAATATCTTTAAGTATTAAAAATGAAAGTACTTCTAATTCATCTCTTAAGTACAAATAGCATTCTACCCCAATAGAACAAAAATCATTATATTCAAATTAAAAAAACCCTTTTGCTGAATGTAATTGATAAATAAATTCTTCATTAAATTCTTTACATGTAAAAAGTAAACTATCTCTCTATATATAATCTTTATTTGATAAAGTATACTCTTTAACATCTGATTCAAAATAATCTAAAAAAATTGGTTGTTTTAAATAACAAATAATTTGCTAAGTTCTTACAACTCTTGAAAGTAATATTACCTCCTTTTATTCAGTTAAAAAGCCATCAAATAACTAATTAATATGATTTTCAATTTAGTATTATTTTTCGAGTATTTGTAAATGATTATATTGAAGAATAATCTTAATATTACATTTTCTAAATTATTATGCAAGTTTGAGTAAATTAATCCTAATATTTGTTAATTTACATATATCTATTTTATCATTTGAATTTTCTTGCATAAATCCTTAAAAATAATATAAAGATATAGATTCTATCTCATAAGACTCTTATTTTAACTCGAATTCGAATTATATCTAATTTTCCTAAGTAAAATTTTTATTAAATAAGTTATTTAAATCTGTTAAAGATTCATAACTATCTGTAAGATTGAAATACAAAATTATCCTTTTATTTTTTTGTTAAACATCATAACTTTCTTATTAAATATTTAGTTTTTTGAACATGAAATATTTCCTCTTTTAGAAAAAATGATTTAAATTGATTAAAAAAAATAATTAATATATATTTTGTATAGTAATTATTGTACTATTATTATAGAGAAATATTTAAATTTGATCTACTGGAATTTCAATCCTAATATAAAGAAGTAAAATAGTTTCTCTATTTGAAAATCATAAAAATAAAATTAAAGTACTAATTATTTTTTATGCTAAGTAACTATCTAATAATTAATCTCACTTTCCAATTTTTATATTAGTATTGTTAAATTAATAATAGAATGCTTCAAATATCATTTTTGCTCTTAAGTTTTAATGACTATTATAAATAATTGCTATCAAGTGTCTCATGATATTTTTGATAGATCTTCCAACCTCTTTAATAAATTATGTCTCCTAATTTATTAAAATCCCAATACAAATAAGAGTTTCTTATGAAACACTAAAAAAAATTAATTTCTATTGCTTATTTTAATATACCAAATACTTAAATTTATAAACTTTATATCGAGCAAATAAAAGTTATTTAATAATAAATTTATGGGTGCCATATGTTCATGTAAATGTTGTGGATGCTCAAAACAAAAGTAGAATCCTCCTTAACCTCCACCTAAAGAAACATAAAAACCAGTTCTAGTAATCTAACCAAAACCAGAACCAAAACCAGAACCAGAACCTAAAAAAGATGAACCTAAAAAAGAAGAGCCTATAAAAGAAGAACCTAAAAAAGAAGAGAGCTTCTTACCACCTGAAATAGAAGAAAATAAGTAAGTAAAAGAAGAAGAAAAACCAATTGAGGTTTAGAAAGTAGAGAATATTTCATAGCCAGATAAAGACATAGAATAGTTTGATTAAGCATTAAAAACTATTATAGAAACAGAAGAAGCCTTTAAGCAATATAAGAAGGAAATAGAAGAGCAATTAAGCGCTTGCTTTAAGCAAGATTAATATAAATTAAAAGATTGTTCAGAAAAACCATATAGTGGACCTAAGATAGCAAATAGAAATATTTGTGATATTGAGGATGAAGATAAATACGATTTCTCTAAAGTTACATAATTTCAAGAATATAATGAGGATATAACTTTAGTGAGATTAATTCAGAAATAAAGAGCACCTATTTGCACTTATCTTGGTAAAATATAGGGCAAATACTGTTGTGTAAAATTAATACCAATGGCTAAGAAAGCATATATTCATACATGGATAGCAAGAGTTAAAGAAACTTTTAAAATATAAGAGAAGGGCAAAAAAATAGATGCGTAAATGACAAAAGAAGAGTAAAACTAAATAGATTTAATTCTAACATCATACTTTTAAAAATATTTTTATTATAAGATAGAAGAAATAAAAAATGAACCAGAATATTGTAATTGTTATATTATTACTAAACTAGAATAATTTAATAGTTATACTTTTAGGTATTTATTAAATATTCATAAATAGTCATCATCCATCTAAATAATTAGCAGAAAGAATAAATGTTGCTTACTAAGCCATTCAAATTATTTCTCTAGTTCAAAAAAGTTAATTAGATATGGATTAAAAAGCTAGAGATTAAAAGTTGTCAGCATAGATATTTTAGAAAATGGTTATAGTGAAAGGAAATAATATATTAATTTCTAGAGATTAAAATTAGGTAGGTAATTACAAATTACTATTATCTGATTGGTAATTGTTTCTAGATGAATTTGAAGTTATAATACCTAATAAAAAAATTCAAAATCAAGATAAGTATTATAAAAATAATGAAAAATGTATTTAGTATCTGTCTGGCGCATTATAAGTATAAAAGGATTAAGATTATATTAAAAACGTTAAAGAATTAGATGATGTTACAAAAAGATTTGTCAAAATGATATTTTTTAGAGTCAATTTTGAGTAATATGATTTTATGTAATATTAGGTTACTTGAAAATGTTGAATTAAAAGGATTTAAAAATGAAAGTGAATTTATAAAAGTTGGTAAAAACATAAGTGAAATTGAGAAAAAGAAAAAGATTGAATATGAAAATTTGAAAACCGCAATATAAAACTCTCTTTAAAAATAAGATAATAAATAAGATAAAAAATAGAATCTATAGGAGATAGCTAAAGATTTATAAAATTAGCTATCTCAACTATTGTCAAAAGAGTTAGGGCTCTATAATTCACCCAATTCTAATTTACTTTATCTAATTTACTTAATGATAGAAATTTTATCTACTGAAGCAATAAGACCTTTTTTGAAAGACTTAAATATTGACCATCACTTAAAAAGTCAAGAAATTAAGAAATGATAATTATATTCAAATAAATATAATAATATTTATTTAATTTTTAATATAATTTTGTATAAGTTGTTATTATGAGTATACAATTTTCTTTTTGATTTTTTGAAAAATTCTAATGATTTAATTAATTTCAATGATTCAACCTAAAAGAAATATGGATTATTTTGAATATAGAATTAAATATCTAAAGTAAAATTAATACTAATTTTACTTAATCATCTTTATAAAAAATAATGTTAAAGCTTTTTGTAATTTACATACATTTTAAAAAATTTGATTAATTATTGAAATAATCTTTGATTATATGAGTTTGAATACACTAATATGGAAGTTAAACTTATAAACTATTAGAAATAAATAAAAAATTGCATAAAATTAATCTGTTTCTAAATTAAAGATTAGATTATATTCATGATTAGTTTAAATAAACAAATTTTATTATGATAGAAGAGAAGGAGAGATTATAATGAATGATTTATTGAGGATTGAGATTATATGAATAACAAATATCAGCATAATTAGTAGATATAATTTAGAACTTCATGTTTGTTAATTTTTGTAATATTAAACACGATGATTCAATCTAATTAATTATTTTTAAAATGGGTTGTTCATTGACATCTAAGAAAAAAACTGACAAATTTCAATCTCTATAGTTGCCTTCTCAAATAACTTCGAAACAAATTGAGGGAGATGAGGTTGAAAGAGAACTTTTTAATCAATTTTGTTTAGAAAAATACAAAATTTAAAAGAATCCTATAGTTTAAAGGAGAGCTCATTCTGCTACACCAAGTTTAATCAATGTTTAGAATAAAGTAGATGCATAGATTTCATTTGTATAAAGATAATACTCTTGATCAATATATTAATATTATCTCTTCATGTAAAATTACTTTAACTTTTATTCATCAATAAACAGAGTATTAGAGAACTTACTGAAAGTATAAGTTCGATCTAAGAAATGAATTTTGAATTAACAATATTCGTTTTTGAAATAATTAACAAAAATTTAGAGTATCTTCAAGCTTGTAATCTTGATAAAAACTAAGTAAGTAGGGAATAAGAGAAACCCAAAGGTTAGTATGAAAGAACAAGACTAAAGCATTTAGATAATAATTAAATTTTGTCGTCATTTAATTATTAAACATCCTTGCTATAATAAACTATGATTAATTTTTTGATTTATATATGATTGATTTATCGGTACAATATATTAGCGCAAACGATTAAATTTTAAAGAATTAGATTGAAAAATTGTGAAAGTACAAACTCAAAGAGGATTGATTTCATTGCCCAAATTTGATGAAAATATTAATATTATATTAAAATATTCTAATACTGAGACTATATACTATCAATCTTTATTCATGTAAATACATCCACTAATATTAGAGATTTATATATCTTTACTTCTCCCATTTTTATTATTGATTTTTTAGTTATATTGTATTTTTGATAGTTTGAGTGAAATTTTAGATAAAGAATAAATATATACTAATTTTTATTATAGATGAATATTTTTTGAGACATAGCCAAAATAGCTTTGTTTAGACTACAATCCATTAAATTAGTTTTCATTACAAAAGTAACTATTAGATATTAATTTCAAAAGGTGAAAATATCAGTAAATTTTAAATCAATAATATTCCATTACAATCTTAAATATTAAAATAATAACTAACAGATCAATAGATATAAAAAATACTCTAAATCATAAAGGTAAGATCCCAATTTTATTGAATATAATTTATATTAATTAAATTGTTCAATTATCATTTTGAAAATAAAATAAATAAATTTAGTAAGCTAATATAATCAAAAAATATTTGATTATAAATCACTATTAATATTGAATGGAAAAATAATTGATATTTATTATCCTATTTATGGATTGGATATAAATGATTTATATTTAATTGATTAAATAAATATGATACTCATGGATTATAATAAACTTATTTTTGCAAATAAAATGAGGTTTAAAGTTGATTATCACTCTGTAGAGATCATAAAAGTGGAATAACGATGTTAATTTGATTTTAATTTTTTTTATAATTCTTATTTAAAAAATTAATCTGATTCAAGATTTTTGGAAATCCAGAATCAGATTTAATAGAAAAGTTAATCAACTCTTGCATTTATAAGTTTAAAACTTGATTAATGAAGTCTAAAATATCAAAAAGAATTTTCATTTTGACTTGAAAGTTGTTAAGAAGAAATATTCTAGATTTTTAATGAAGTTTATAAAATTCTGTTATTAATAATTTATCAGCACTGTTTTTCAATAGCATCTGCAAGTTTTTCGATTACATATCCAGTTCCAATCCCAACTACTCCATTAGCCAATAAATGGACAGTGATTCTTATTATCTTATTAGAAGTAAGGAGAATGTCAACAAATTTTTTTTAAGGAATATTAGAAGCAACAACATTAACTACCTCATAAATTACATCAGCTGGATCTAATTTATCAAGGAGATGTTTTGAGTTCATTATGTGCTTCACTTTGTTCATATTTAGTCCAATTACTTTGCTCCCAAAACATTTCAACACAGCAGGAACTAATTTACCAAAACAAGTAGATAACACAGTTTTTCCACCTTATACCTCTATTATCATAGTTGATAATACAAGGTAGAGAATTAAATATCGTGAAAACATATGATGAAAATAAATATATTTTTTCTAGAAGAATGTCGTTTTAAACTTCATAAATTCTATTAAAATTTGATA